CTACCAAACCACTTGCCTACGATGACCTAGCTAATTAAATTATTGAACCATTTGACATGGTTAGTCCGGTCATGTGTTAGACATTAATGTTTTTTATTTTTTATCCTAATTTTTATCCCATTTCTATCATTAATAAAAATAATTGTCATTAATCACACTTTTTTATATGATGAATATGTAATATTATAGAATATACCCAAAATTATCAACAAATTTTTATATTTTCAAGAACTTAATGTATTTTATTATTTAATAATAGCATCTATTTGACATGGATAGTTTAATAATAACATCCACCAACCACTTCCCGACTGCCAAAGCATATACAATTAGCCAAATGGGATTGCAACACTCTCCCTTGTTTTGGTCTGTTCAAGTTTAAAAACAACGGTTTAAGAATCTAAGAACGAAAATTGGAATGAACAATGCAAATACTACTGTATGCTTACCTCTTGAACCAAGAATAGCACAGAGAAAGCAAATGCAGTGAACAAAAATGATAGGATTCAATATATATGTGTGTGTGTGTGTGTGTGTGTTTTCAGGCTACATCTCCCCACCATTCAGACACGTGGGCTTCTCAATTTTTTGGAAATCTAGACACGTGACATTTTATGAGAAATTATTGTTAAAGCCCACAACCCACTACCACCATTCATATAAGTAGCCTTCTCACTTTTTGGAATGCTAGACCCATGGCAATTTCTGAGAAAATTTTGTTAAAATCCATAACCCATTACTAGGCTACAGCCACCACCATTCAGACATGTAGCCTTTTCATTTTTCTGGAAAGCTAGACATGTGGCATTTTCTGAGAAATGCTAAAGCCCATAACCCACCACCACCATTCAGACACATGGCATCCTATTAATTCAAGAAATATGATTCAAAAATTGTATAGTTTCATGTAGGCACTTTTTTATTAGCTTAACACATGTTTATCTATAGTCTATTAAATACAAATGGTGGGAGCCATTAAAAGGTTACCATAAATCCACGTTTGTTTCTAAATGTTTTTTTTTTGAAAAAGAAAATACTTTATTAATTACAAACTTGATTTAACTTTTAGGAAACAACCTAATTTAACTTTTAAAAATAAATAACTCAAAATGGATTTATTAGATAAATAGTAAATACCAAATAAAAAGGGTTATTGTTTACCAATAAGATCTCATTTAATATCTTAAATCAAATTAAAAAAAAACATAAATTAATAGTGGATTTCAAACAAAATAGGTTAGAATAAATTGTCAATTACAAAGATGTAAGACCCATATTAGTTTTTTTAATTTAATTTTTGATAACTAAATAATAAACTTCAAATTAAATTATACACACATTTAGTTACTACATACTTAGTATGGGGTCATTCTCTAGTATAGAATGAAAAAAGAGAAAGCTATTGGCTTGCTGCTATTGTTGGAATGGAAAATGGAGAAGAAAAATCTAAAGCTCTTAGAATCCTAGACACCCACGTTCTCCAAAATTCTATTTCCATATATGCTCATTCAAAAGAACCCATTACATGATTTTCGTTTCTATCCACGATCGAGATATATAGGTTTCCATAAAAATACATTTCTTCTATATTTATGTGTGATTTGGAGTGGAAAGACGGGGAGAACGATAACTGAGCAGCTTAGGAGTGGTGGGAAAGGGAGAGGTGAGAGAGTCAAGGAGAATGCAGGGTTGGGGTAATGGAGAAAGGAGAGGCAAAGTGAAGTCGACCACCTTGCTTTATATATATATATATATATATAAATAGATATAGAATAGATAGGCCCGAGCCCAACTTGAAAAATTAGAAAGCTCGAACTTTTGGGCTTAGATACAACTTGAGGATCGAAAATCCAGACCTAACCTGTGAAAAATCGTAGGCTAGGTCGTTCTAAGCTCAAGTTGGGCCCAAGTTGCACCCCTAATCTTTATTCTTTAGTAGAAGTTGTTCATTGAAACCATTTTTTATTTTTAATTACCAAGCTAAACCAAATTGACCAATCTAGCTTGCTAACTTTTATTTACAACGAAATTGCTCTAGACCACCCAAAATATCAATATGAAGTCTTGAATTTAAGACATGCCTATTTTTTGCATCAAAATAACTCACTACAATAAGACTTAGCATCCAATAAGCAACTCTCTCAAGTATTTCATTTGTATAAGATGCATATTGGCAAAACTATAGATATGGCAAAGCTCAAACATGAATAATTTGACACAAAGGACCACTTTGTGTAAGATGTATATGATGATTCATGGTACCATGGTATATTATATTACAATAAGGTTAGAATTCTTGTAATGGATGAATCTTTTCTACCTTTCATGGTGACCACTTTTTTAATCTCTTGTAACATACTTGGGCAAATGATTAAGAAATAAACCCTAGATGATTTAGCATGAGAAGATAAAATTGCACTGGAACCATCCTACATTAATAAAAGTTAATGTCATAATTAAAAAACATAGAAAAACAAAGAACATATAAATTAATAATACTTACTATTAATCCAATAAAAGAATTTCAATCTTTTTGGAGTTTGGATATACTAGAGAAGTATGACCCACATAGACAATTGCTCTAATGACATTAGTAAAGGATAGAAATGTTTAGCATAGCATAATTTTTTGTAATACATTTTATTCGGAATAGAATAAGTTAGAATATACCTATGAATAGATTTTTCCCTGCACGCTGTGCAATTTTGTCAAATGTGACTAAATTATACTTTTGAAGTGGGATTCCATGCATTTGTTAATGTAGCGTACGATCTTTGTATCATTAGTGAAGTGCAAATGTATATCAGTTCAAGACATGGTATACTTAGAATGAGTACAACAAATGCTCAATTTTGATATACAATATACCATGCCTTCACGTAGTATATCCGTAAAATTTTGTTTACTGCTTCATTTGTTCTTCTTCACATTCATGGCACAGGTTAGATGATTTAAAGATAATAGTTTTTAAGAGGGATGCTAATTATATTCTTGTGATTTGAGGACTCACAATTTGATAGAAAACATGGCGCTTGATAGATCTAAATGTTAGGATAAGATTCATGAGACCAATTCCAAATAATTGGGATTAAGGCTGAGTTGAGTTGTATTGTATGCTAATTGTATTCTTATGAGTATGATTGGAGACATAGGTGAGTATGTCTTACCTTGCTTTTTTCAATTTAAGTTACATGTTGAAAACTTTTTTTTTTTAACTTTTTTCCCAAAAGCAAGTAATTTCAATCAGATTGGGGAGGTGAGTACTCATTGTGTTTCGTGTCCTCGTGCTCATGCACATAATGGTGCTCCTATAGAAACTACATTTGCTTTACTTTCTCATGCCCATATGCCCTTATTGGGATGTAGTAGTTCAAGCTATTGAGTTTCTTATGAATCATATGCCCACATCATCAATTTTTTCCATGGTTTTCAAAATCAGACCGGACTGGACGGTTGGACCGGAAAAACAGGAAACCGGTCACTTAATCGGTTCCGTTTTCCTCTAAAACTGTTGATTTTGGTCAATAAACCGCTGAACTGGCCTGTTAACCGTTCAAACCATTCGAACGGTTTTGAGCGATTTTCAAAATTTTTTAATTTTTTATTTTTTTTTTGTCAAAATGGGTTGACCATTCAGGTCAAATGGTCGGACCATTTGAACCAGTAACCGGACCCCTGACTGGTTCAGTCACCGGTTCGGTTTTAAAAACCATGATTTTTTCTCAATTATCCCAATATGAAAAATTGTTCAGAATATTTCCTGACTACTCTCATATTGAGGTTTTTGGATGTGCTTGTTACTCCTTTTTGCGGCAATATAATAAACACAAAATTGACTTTCGCTCTTCTCAATGTGTGTTTATTAGTTATAGCCTATTCCATAAAGGCTATCGTTGTTTGCCTATACTTACTGGCCTTATCTATGCAAGTAGAGATGTTATTTTAATGAGCAATTATTTCTCTTTGCAACTTGGGCCGGGTTGGCCCGAACCAAACCTTAACCCAGTCCGAAAAAGTTGGATTGAGTTGAGTCAGGTTGATGCTTGGATTAGGGTTAGGGTTTTAATTCATGAACCTGACTTGACCCCTTGGGCAACCCGACCCAACCCAAACCTGCCATGAAGACTTGTTGCATCAACTGCAGTTTAATGTTGACAGGGAGACCATTTAGAAAGCTTGCAAGCCAAGCCCATTCATCCTTACTGCCATGTATATTTAGGACCAGAATCAACAAGCCCACAAAGATAATTCTACAGATTGACGCTCATCAGATTACTCAAACATAAATAAGAAATGTAGATCATTTGATCAGTATTCAGATGATAGTAGCCATACTGAACCAGTGCAGCATGAGTTTCGTTCAAAATTCTATAGGTTCCAGGTAACGCTCAATACTTGAAATCTTTGAATTGTTCTTCATAGCTGAATGGCTTATCGCACAAAGCAAGTGTCTGCTATTTGTAATCCTGACTAAAACACAAATGGAGGCAAAAGTGATTTTGGAATATATGCTGTACAAAGAAGAGATAGTAGAATAACACATGCTAATTTCTTAGATCTTGATATTGTAAACAAGAACATTGTAGTTGGGCGTTTCTGGTGACAGTAACCAGACAATAAAAACAATTGAGATGATGCATCGAGAATAGATTATGTAGTGCAGTAACGACTTAGAAAACTCAATCTCAATCTCAATCATCATCATCCCTTCTTCATCAGAAGATGACTGAAAATGTAACAAATGGACATTTTTCTTGTGGAAGTTACTAAGTTAGAACCAAGGGTAAGCACCAGCTGTTCTTTAATTTGAATCAGGAGGTGGGGGGGGGGGGGATATTGTTACAACGGTTAATGCTTAGTTTAGTATCAAAAGTGTCCTACATATTTATAGCAATGCAGTAATAGTGGTAGTAATATTATATACATACTAAAATCACAAGAACTTAGATAAGCTAAAATGCAATTTAATATTTGCAGTAAAAAATACCAAACCCAGGAACTGTCATCCAAATTTCACTTTACTCAAGTATACCAATCTCTTCACCAAAATGGCTTGCCCTCCTTATTTTCAATCTACTAATTCCAGAAGGGGAAAAAGAAGAGTTACAAAAGAGAAGAAAAGTAAAAATAAAAAGACATCTCTGGATCTCCCCTTTCCCTCTTTGTTATTGCCAAGTATCAACAGTTTCATCAAAATACCCGTACATTCATTCACTCCCTCCCAATTTGTTAATGCAAAACTAATCTTTACTCTTTGTTACATTAACCTATCAGATAAACTAGGAAGCCGACGGAAAAAGTTCAAGCTTGCTGGTGGCATTGGCTCTCTGAACATTGGGTGCCTCAAGAAATAAAATCCAAGTGCCACTGCCACCATCTTTGGAGGCACCACATACAGTACCACAGCCACTGCTAAGCACACTGCAATGAATAATCGTGTTGCCCTTGGGTCCCTCCAGCTCACTAAAGCCTGCAGCCTCTCTCCCTGCGTTGCAAAGTCCCCAAGCACTGTCTGTATCCTTGCTGCTAGTGTTCTTAGCCTGTCATAGCGGGCTCGAACAATGTCTGGGGGCTTTGTGCTTGGGACAGGATCAGACTCCTCATCTAGCTCATCTGGATCGACAGTATCAGCTTGAGACAGTCGAATATCCATCCCTGCTGGAATTTTAGGTTTGAAGCGGTGGTACCAAACCCCAATCAAGAACACATATAAGAATACAGTTGGGACTATCAATTCAGGGTACCACACAAGCACCAAATACAACAAATGCACCAGCACTGTTGTAACGGGGTTCTTCCACCGCCTGATATCATCCACCCATCTTGCCAGCCCAATAGCCCATGCCAGCACTGCCATGATTCTAAACCAATTAGCTTTGCTCTTCCGCATGCTCCATGTATGTGAATCTGCATCAAGCATGTACCTGACCACCTCTCGCCCCAATGGTGGCTCGGACCGTGCAAGCCATGCCGCTACCATCTTAATGGCTGCACCACGCAATGCCTCTTGCTGGGCAACACCCAGTGGGCGGAGGTAATGCATGCGTGGAAGCATTGGCTGCCCGTATATTGCACAGGTGTCAGGAAGTAACGGCGGACAGGCAAACCGCATCGCCACCTCTATCTCCCCCATCTTCTTCAACCCAGACTTCTGCAGCACTAGCAGCGGATATGAATTTGTGTAGACCTTGTTACTCTCCAGCGTAGATACCCGTATCCTTACCTTCCCAATATGGTAGTCTGGCCTCTCCTCCGTGGCGTCTGCAAATATTCGCCAATTGTCAAATACTCCTATTGTCAGCACGGTGCAAGGGTCATATACTTGCCAGGTGTATTGCTCGTTCCACCGTGGATCAAAGCTGTCCGTGATAGTCCTAGTTCGCACCCACTTCTTGCCATACTTCGCAACACAATATGCATCAGTGGAGCCTTTACCAGCTCCTTTGGTCTTCATTGGGAGCAAACCTCGAGCACCTAGAATGCCAAGCTCCAAAATTCCAATTGCCGGCTTCCATAACTGTTTGGCTGTCGGACGGAAATCACTACACACGTGTGCCGCCTCATCAAGCACGTGATACCCACCTTCCAAGCATAGCCGTAAATGAATCCGGCCACAGTAGATCGCTCCTCCTCCTCCGCCTGCAGGAGCTCCACCATGACCACCGCTGCTGCCACCATCAAGCACAAACCACTTGGAAGGCACATGCCGCTCATCTAATCGTTGTTCCACAGAGCTCAAAGGTACAGTAACATTGCCGAGAAGCACAGGCTCCTTGCTTGTGCGATCTTCAACAAGTAAGATCAACTGGTCTTCAAGTGGTTCGCCTGCAACAAAAACCAGGTCTTCGTTCCAGAAGAACGACGAGATGTGATTGCTCGTGGCCCGTCTGCTTCGTATAGACTGAAACCCCAACTGTGCTTTCACTCGAATATCTAGCGTCGTCGCCGGTGGATGGTTCGAAAAAAGGTGGAGGTCTTGAGCTTCAAGCACTGTGACTCGAAGATACCAGAGCTTCGGTGACTGGTAAACCTTCGACCGAGTGTGACTCACATAAGGTGCGTCCGAGCTCCATGACTCAGGAAACGTGTCATCGGCCTGAGTACCAATCCAGACCGAAAGTTGAATGTCACCGGAGACTTTATTCGGTTGTTGATCGTCACCGCCTTCGAGACGGTACCATTGCGGAGCTAACGAACTGTCCGGTGGATCACGGACTGGAACGTCAGATAAATCGAAGCAAACAGCGCCAAGGAACGCTTCAGACGCTCCATCCCAGACCGAGATCTCTAATGTGGCATTACCAGAATCCGGCCGGTTGTGGCCAAGAGCGAAGACCTGGTGCCACTCAGGGTTCCCAGAAGCTTCGCCAGGTTTGTGGGTCGCTGGTTTCGATCTAACGAAGTGGCTACCCGTACGGATCTTCACATGGGGGCTCTCGTTTGGTGCCAGAGCACGAGCCTTCACGATTCGAACGAACAAGTACTGCATTGGCTCAACGAGATCATACGCTGAAATCCGCTCGCTCTCACCGGCAAATCTGCCTGTGATGACCCTCGGCGCGTATTCCCCGTTAGGTCTCCCGAAGACCTTGATTCGCTCTGTAGTCACTACTCCACTTGTCTGGACCTTCCGTACTTCCGGCGGTACCTGTTGTTCAGTATGAGCAGCGAAAGAAATTCCATGCGGCTCCGGATGCTCCGGTTGCACAGTAACCGGAGGGGGAGATTCTGCAATGGTAACGATCGGCGGAGGCTCCGCCATCTCCTCAGCTATTTCCGTCGGCAAGATAATCTCCGGCAGAACCTCCTCCTTAGGCAACTTCTTTGCTTCCGTTGGGGGCGGAGCCCCCTCGTCAGGCGGCGGCGCTCCCTCTTTCTGCTCCTCGACTAGTTCATCATAATAGTAAATTCTCAAGCCAATTTCTCCTTTAACCCAACTAAAAACGCTCTTCTTCTCCAAAGGGAAGTAAATTAAACCTTCGTTCCCTTTCTTCGAGAACTGGCTCCCGTACAACTTCACCCGGCCAAGAAAGTGGTTTCTCCGAGCACTTCCACTGCCTTTCCCCATTTTCTTGTCGTTGAACACCTCGATTTCGAGTTCCTCTGCTTCCATTGTCTTGGGATCCGTGACAATGAACTCGAGCTTTTCGTTCCATATTGGATTCAAGTCTCTGAACTTCGTCGAAGTTCGCTTCCTCTGTCCGTCGAAATCTGCGATGACATACGGGCTCGAGCTACCTTGGCCGTCTTTGGGGGCAAGATCGCGAGCGTCAACCACTTCCACGACCAAATTCCTTACCGTCGTCGCATGCGATGGCGGTGGTGGTGTTGCCATCGTCATTTCATCTTGGTCGGAAAAATCAGTTTTTCAGCAAATCCCGACTGAGGCAAAGTTTTGGAGTCTGGAGTTTGTGCGAGAATAACTGTCGATAGCCGTAGCAGAGAAGGCGGAAGTTACGCCACTGCTTTCTAATTTTCTATTTGCTTTTTTTTTTTTTCTTTTTCTTTTTTCATTTCGGGGGAGAGAATGTTTGAGGAGATCAGATTCCATTCCGTGTCGGGAAGGTTTCTTTCTTTCTGGTTTCTTCCGTGTCCATGTCATTTGTTCGTTTCTCCATATTTTGTATGTGAAAGCTCAGTTTGGAAGTGACGGGATCTGCTCCTCACAGGCACATCCATCATTGGGAACATCTCCCGTAAATAATAATTAATAAATACGGTAGATGTTTTCATTACATAATCGAATGTGCGTGTGAGGCGCTTGTAAGGCGCGAGGTGTGAGAGTCTCAATTTGAAAAGGTAAATACACAAGGATTTAGAATTTTGGAAATATAAAATAAGCTTTGTAATGGCACAATGCATGTATACAATACAAAATAGGTACAGAGTACACTATTAAATACAAAATACAAGATTTTGCACTTGTATTTGTATTTGTATTTATACTTCTTCCAAACTCAAGGCTTAGAAGACTACATGCAATATTGAGGTTGTGACACTTGACCTCTCAAACTTTTATTTGTAATAAAGACCAACTAAACTTTTTACATTGCAACACTTTGCCCGGCATCACCAATATTGTTGACCGTAAAGGTAAATTACTAAAATGCCCATTTGAAGTTTGGTAGACTGAAAAGAAAAATAGATAATCCTATCATTTCTGTAAAATTGAATATTTACCACATATTAATAAAGCTTGATTTCAACCCATCATGTTAAAAAGCATTACATAATTAATTTATTTTTCACTCTTCATGTTTTACAAGATGTACCTACCTCTAAAGACTTAAACAATATTAAAGATGTCACCTGTGTGACATGTTATTTTATCACTAGTTTATGGTTTTTTGCTTTATGGTGCAACTTTTACACTATATATTTTGTCAAGAAAAAATATTAGAATAACCTAAATAGGCATGTAAAACCATTGTATCTCCTGTTATATTATTTTTCTTTTTTGTAGATTTTTTTTTTTGTTTTTTCTATATTTTTCTCTTTTTTGTTGTATTTTTCTATGATTTTTATGTTTATATATTTTATTCTATTTTCCCTTTTTTACTTTATATTTTGTTGTTTTTATGTATACTTTCCTACTTTTTTTAATTTTTTATTTTTTATTATACTTTATTAATTGTCTACAAAATGACCCCATAAAATGGTACATGGGTAATTTGGGGTTTTAAAAATGGTTTACCTCACACATGGTAATTACACGATATTCTTGGGAAGATATTCCAAATGCACAGCTGCAAGATTATTGTGACGGCGGTGTAATTATGTGAGGGCAAATTTTGTGATGATTCAGTTCAGGATGGATATTTGTCTTAAGGCCACGTTTGTTTGAGGTATAAAATCGAACCAAGGTAAACTTTACACCCTGATTTGATTTTGCAGACGTTTGAATAGAATGTATATTTACAATGTAAACTGGTGTAAAACTCCATTTTGAAATACTTTTACACCAATTACCGATGTAAAAAAAAAACATCAAAAAATTATCGATGTAAAACTTACCCATTTCTATCCTCTCTCTCAGCTACATGCATTTAGGCTAGAGGTATAGGAAACATAGGTTACAGGCCAGTAAATATTTAAAAACAACTGAAAATGATTGATGACGTTTGATCAACGAGTAAGGTTGGAAATTTATACACCTTGATAATCAAATATGATCGGTGTAAATATTTAAAAACAACCGGTTTCAATTTCTATGAACCGGTTCATATTTTCTATCTAAAATTAAATTTACACCTAAAACAAACACAGCCTAATTAAAGGTCGGGTTTCTAATTTACAAACATAAATACAATGCAAAGCTTTGTATTTTGTATTTCTAAACCTGTATTTGCACCGTACATCTTTTATATTTGTACTGCTTCCAAACTGAATCGAATGAAATTACGGAAATGGTCTTCGTAAAACAATCCTTATTTGATATATCGCAAGCTACCATTCTCAATTGTCCCCGGGGAATTAAAGGGTGGGATTTTGCATGGTTATCGATCAATGATTTTAAGATTGTTATGGTCAAGCTGGGGTCCTCTCATGGTTTGATTGTAATCTACCGGTCACCGGTCCCTCCTGGAAGTTGGACCCCCGTGGTCAAATGATCAAAACCATTAGATCAATGGACGGGACCCAAAATAAGTAGCTTGATGCGAAGAGTCCTTTCCTTTTCTGTTATTTGCTGGGACCCAAATTGCACTTTATTCCTTGCGTACCTCTCAATTGGGTGCTTCATTCTTGGTTCCTGCAAGTGTGTAGAATTGTGTGGGATTCTACCCGTGGAATAAAAGCCAAGTTGGTCAACGTCGCCGTCCACCAATAAGTACACTCGAAAAGGCATCCTTATTGCGGGTTTGTTCTAAATCTAGTGTGTGCTTAGGAAGCAACGGATCCCGGTCCGGTCCAGCAATCATAGCCATTCAAACATGCTTAAGGACCCACATCTTGCTGATATTGAACCTCAAAGCTTGTATTGATATTGGATGGTCTTAGAGTTGGAGACCGGATCTACTCCTCACATCAGGCACCTCACACGCACTTCCTATCATGCATTGGGAATATCTCCCATGCTTATTTGTTATTATTTACGGGGGATATTCCCAATGCACGGCAGATGTGCATGTGAGGCGCCCATTTGTGAGGAGCAGATCCCGTCACTTAGAGTTGAGCTACGATCTCCTACCCACAAACTATATATTTTCACATCCCCTATCCACAGGACATTACAAGCGGGAATATCTTCCTTTGTCGTTTATGTGAGATGTTCTCAATCCTCGTTGGTTGTATTTGTGGGTAGGGATGTGAAAAAAATTTGTGAGTAGGAGATCCGGAGTGCTTAGACTTTAGATGTGTAGAAACTTACAGTCCAAGCTTAGCAATAACTGTTCGGTCTTTGCTTTTGGATCAATATGGATTTATCTATATCCCATCCAATAGTAAGAGTTGGTTTAAAATTTCAAATCATGCAGGTTGGTTCAAAAACCAATAAAACTCTTATAGTCGGTTCTAGCCATGTTATCATAGGCTTATGTGATTGCTGCCGACATGAGACTCTTAATCCATGTTAGATTTGGACCAACAAAATGCCTATATTCAAATTGCCCTTAATGCTAGGTTATTTGAAAACAAAAAAAAAGGGTTTCAGTTTCTCTCCCACTTCATCTATCTTTTGATCTCCCTCTCACTCCCTCACTCTCACCGTCATCTCTCCTTGCTCAATAAACTCCCTCTCATAGTTGTCTATCTTTGGTCGACAAACTCCCTCTTATAGTCATCTCTCTCTATCAACGAAATCCATTTTTGTTTCTCTTCCACTCCACTTCGTCTCTTGTTGTCCCTCTCACTCTCTCTCAATTGTCTACTCTCTCTCTCTCAATTTTTCTTAATTGTAATTTGATGCCGTGAGGGCAGACAACGAGATTATTACTGAGTGGTGGTTTAAGAAAGGTTCAAATTCCCAAAGAATCAAATTAGACCTTTCTCTGTCTCTAAGAGCATTAGAAGACAAATTAGACCTTTTCTCATGTCCTATCATTAACCTTCCAAGCTTTCAGCTGCTTTACTATACATGGTCTGACTAATGAACTTGGTGTGGTAATTTATCAAATTAAACTTTGTCAAGATATGAGACGAAGAGGTTGATAGAAAAGGGGGGGGGGGAGAGAGAGAGATTGAGAGAATGGGAGATTGAGAGACAATAAGACATAACGATTATGAAAGAAAGAGAACGAGTAGTGGAGCAGAAGAAAAACAAAAATGGATTTCGTTGATAGAGAGAGATGATTGTGAGAGGGAGTTCATTCAACAGAGAGGGACGATTGTGAGAGTGAGGGAGTGAGAAATCAAGAGACAGAGGCATTTTGATGTGTTCAACATGGATTAAGAGTTCTGTGTTAGCAATAGCCACATAGAGGTAAGTCGGGATGTGCTAGGCCAATATGTCACTACCTGCATGCGGCCTGTGCAAAGTGCATGTCGTGCCATGCTGGCCTACGGACTGAGCCACACCGTGCTTCCCACCCCTGGGATACTTAGGGGTCGGCCAGGCATGGCCCATGACTCGAGCCTACATAGGCCGGACTGGTTTGTGGGTTGAGCCTTGGGCCAGGCCAAGCCACGGACTAGGCCAACCCATGTTTTTTAAAAATTTTGAAAAAAAATAATGAAAAGTTTAACATAAATTAAAATAATAAACAAAAATAAAATAAAAAAGATCTTAAAGTCAGTTATATCATGTCGTGCTGATCCATGGACCTAAAACCCTAGGCCTGACACAACCCATATGACCGTATCGTGCTTGGCATGACCCGCGGTCCATCGTGTCAGGTTGCAGGCAGCATGACCTGATTTACACCTCTACAACCACATAAGCTTCCAATAACATCGTGGGGGTTTTTATAGCTTGAAATGAGCCGACTATCAGAGCTTTGCTGATTTCTAACCCAACCTGCAACATAATTTGAAATGTTGAACAGACTGTGACTATAACTTTCCCTATAATCTATATATAATACTTAAATTTATATCTATATTAAGGTAAAAGAATTAAATATGTCATGATTTTTTTTCAAAACTACTTAAATATACATTCTGAATATTTTACCCTTCATTTTCTTTCAAAATTTCAAAATATAACCTATATTTTTCAAACTCATGAGGCATGTGTTTTTGTTACAAGTCTCGTAAAGCTCAAAAAAAATAATGCAGCTCCACCTAGGTGGGACCTAGAGTCAAAGTGGGTTGTATTGTGTTGGCACAACATGGTTTTGTGGGCCACCTGTGGCTTAGCGGGCCATGCTGTACCGACACACAGACCTGAGTGGGTTGTGCCTACCTGGCCTAGAACCCCTAAAAGATCAAGCCCAACATGGCCCATGACACGGGCCTAGGCGAGGATTGTGTAGCTAGGCCATGTGCCTAGGTCAAACTGGGCTAGGCCTTTTTTTTTGTTTATTTTTTTGCTAAAGTCTAATTTCTAATTTCTTCAAGTTCCACTTCCATCTCCTTGATCTTGATCTACATCATCTACTTCTAGTGCAACATCAGCATCCAACCAATCCTTCAAGTATATACACATCTCCAGACTTTCATTGTTCATGTAGCTTCT